TACGGTACTGCGTTGCGACGGATATTAGGCAGGAAATACTTAGGTAGGATAAGAAAGGCATCGGTTTTAACACTTTCGCTGCCCATAACGTTCATTAACGTCAAGATAGTTCTTTCCCCCATGCCCATGACGTTTTGTAACGTCATTTGAAGATGTATGCTTCGGTGAATGTAGACAAGTCGCTATGTAGTAAATTGTCTTTATAACCCCGTAGACATATAAAAACGTTCTTAAATTAGTGCATTATGAATTTGGTTTAAAGATTATGTTTGCGAATTTAACATAGCTTTAACAGGTTCTAATTAATTGATGCGCAAACAAGTCTTTAAAAACCAATTAACACAGTTTATCGGCACCGTAACTGGACCGAAGGAGGCTTGCCAGATGCCGGACTCGGCCCGATATATGGGTGAGGCTTCGGCATATAGGTAGGGCATGTCCGCCCAGCCGAATGTCGGCAGCCCACTAAATTGTAGCCGTACTCATATATCTATATATAATTCGGCCCGTAAGGATGCCTCCTATGCCCGTTTAGCCAAATATTAACCGCGTTCGGCCCGTACGGATGCTTCCCATGTCTGGAACGCCAAATATGGACCATATGCGGTTCTACTTCTAAATTACGTCAAATGATACGGTACTCCCGACTCAGAAGAAACGCTGACAACGGCAATCCGAGTACTCGGCTTCCCGTACATGTCGGTGTCAGGCCGAGAGAATGTCGACTATTTGTGGTTTACTGGGAAAAGTTATATGGATTCGAAAAACATATAATATAAAAATATTTTTGAATATACAGTGTGTTACGCTTTTGCTTGGAAAGTAAAAATATATATTTGTTAAATGGAACACTGTTTTTTATCTCAGTTTTAAAATTCTTAGAGAATACTGTATTAAACCCTAGAATATTTTTAAAAAGTATTACAGGGTTGCCAAGCGATTAATTTTTTGTGATATAAAATAATACAAACCCCAAATAAAATTATCAGAATTTAATTAGGCTGTCAATGAGTTGAACATTATTTAAAATATAAGATACCAAACTAACGAATAGACATGACAGAAGTAGTTTATTTTATACAGAGGGTTTTGGAACATCACATAAATATGGCTCATTTTAACTTCATTTTACTCAATTTGAATATAACACCCTGTATATTCTTTTAGCACTAAATTCATTATAAATTTACCTATCTAACGATACCATTATGTTAGCCTATTATACATATACTGGGTGTCTCATCAGTGCGTAATTGATCGATAGCTGTTTTATTATTAAAGATACGAAGACATTTTTAAGTTGTACGATCATATTTTAAAATGATTCCTAAGTATACGGGAAAGTTCATAAATGAGTGGTGGAAAAACTTATACTGGTTTAAAATAAAACGTTTATATATAACAAATTTATTTGTTTCCACATCGTCAAACAATTTTAATAGACTTAACGTTTCTAAAAATGTTTTGACTTTCCATCCGGTTACGTTGTGTGTAGGGTGTGTCAAAACGCAAGATTACGATTTTCTTGTTTTTTTTTTTTTCAAATGAAATGCCCTGTATGTTACACCACAAATTTAATTAACTAATAATTTAGTTGCTTTACTTTTTATTTTGTTTGACATTCTTGAGCCTGATCTGATTTTTATTTTTTGTTTACAATGGTTCATATTACTTGTAACGTCGAAGAAATAATTAATTCTGACAAATGGGTTACCAAAAATTAAATTAGCATTTTACCCTAAATTAGTCCATTTTTTTCAAAAGCCAATTAGAAAAATGCGAAAAAATTATGTAAATTTTTATGGTAAAACCGTCAAAATCTAAAGAAAAAATTCAATTGGGAATAGAATGCCAAACAAAATAAAAAAGGTAAAGAAATTAATTTATATATTGGTGGTATAACCACACAGGATATATTTAAAAAAAATTGAGAATATTGTAACCTCAAGTTAGACACACCCTGTATGCGCCACAGCAAATAAATGAAAATGTTAAACATTTTTAGAAACGTTTAGTCCATTAAAATTAAAAAACGATGTGAAAACAACCAAATCTGTAAGGCGTAACTACCTACAGGATGTTTGGTTTAAAAATCTATCTATTTGGTTTTCCCCTCATTTATAGACTACCTTGTATATTTAAGAATAATTGTAAAATATTGTCTTATACCTTTTATATTAAACATTTCTTCATATCTTCAATAATAAAATATCTATCGATCAATCACCCACAGATGGGGCACCCTGTATATATATAATTAAACACTGTATAAAATGAACCAATTCTTTCATCACAGCTTGGTCCTTATAAGTTGAAAAATATTCTACCATGTCACTCTAAAACTGAAATAAAATGCAGGGTGTTCCAAAAGCGTAACACCTTGTATATCCAAAAATGTTTTCAAATTATATTTCAAACCCACATAACTTTTATTCAAAACGTGTGTCTATAATACAAATTGAAATATCAAGCAATTATGCACTAATGGGACAGCCTATATAGAACTACGACGAAAGTTTATCTCTTTTTTCATCATTTCAGACTTCCTTTTAAACTATTCTTGATTGTTTTTAACTCCCCGCGAATGGTCCAGCCTTCCCTACAAGATTTGACATGATGGCTACAGTTTCATTGGCTAAATATACCATCATTTGGAAACTTATAAGTCTTGGGTCAGCCATTTATGAAATGCTTGACTGCCTTGATCGGTAAATGAATTGATAGGTATACCTTCAGCCAGCGACCCGGTAATATACTTCTTTGACAGAGGTCTATATTCTTTTCTCTTTTGGTCTTAAATTGTGTCCGTATTTATAATCACACTGTATATATAATAGCTATTCCCCAGAATAATTTTTAGATTTTCATTGTGTATGGCCCATGACGATAATGAACGTCCAAACTTCTAAATGTTCGTATCACATACTTTGATTACTATACGGTGCAAGAGAGGTCCAACACGCCCAACATAGGGCGCGGCCATTTTGATTCCTATGCCACAGTTTATAGCTAAAGAATCAGATCGCTCACTCTGCGTCGGCATTTTTGATCTCAATGTTCCAGTTTATACACTGGGCAACTCGGATAATACAATATATGCCAACCGCCTATAATAAAACAGCAGTCTTCTGCGTATCCTGAATTTGTATCCCTGGAGTGGATGTTATTTTGAAACTTTCAACTGGTCCGAGTGAGCTAACTGATTCTTTAGCAATAAACTGTGACTCCAAAAATAATAGGTCTTTTCCTTTGCATCGAAAGTGTAGCACTGAGCTACACCACTTCTGAAAATATCGTTCCATTTATACAAATTGTATGGATTTTTAGTAAAAATCAAGCTCTATAAGAGAATGAATAAATAAATAAAAATTAAGAGATAAGGGGGGGTTGAAATATTGAAAACAAAAAAAGATAATAAATTTAAATTTTTAGAGGAAAAATCAAGCTTTATAAGGGGACATAGCCTATTGATTCTGAAAAAAATCTTATTGAAAATGAGCGTTAAGGGAGTCTGTTAAACTGTGAAGAATATAATAAAGAACGCCAAGCAATATATATCTTCATTCTAGTTTTTGTCTTTATTTCCAATAGCTTGTCTTAGGTCTTAAGATTTGATTACTGTGTTGATTTGTTTTAAATTTCCTGTAACAGCGCCTTGGCCTGTTGGAAATGTAAAGCTACTTATTTATTTATAAGTATTTCTTTACCCATTTAGATATTTCTGTAATAAAAATATAAGTATGTACTTAAATCTGGGAAATTCCGAATGTTTATTAATTGATATAAAATAATAACACATATTTCTTTTAATATAAATTCGATACATTCATTAAAATGTATCCACTGTAATAGCTTCAAGGTCTAAATAATGAAAAAAAAAAAAAAAAAAAAAATACCTATTGCAATATACTGTTAACGTCTATTCAAAATAAAATAAATATTTTAAATCCGTCTCCGACTTCTACCAACAGTGGGAGAGAGAGCTAGAGTCAAGCGAATCCTACCAGATGAAAGGTGCCGCGCCGCGGAGTTTTTCAGTTTGGTTGTTATGGTAAGCTGTGGTTTAACGTTCCGTTAAGAGGGCCCAAAATAAAATGTGCATAGAGAGCCCGCCCATCTTGTTTACTATGAAGCATAAGCTGTGCTCTGTGTGGCGCAAATTTGTAAATACCCTGTGTGAGTTATAATAATGGTTTAGTTTTTACTAGACACCAGATCAAAAAAATTGGGAATAGGACGTTTCAGTGCCGCCATTTGAGCGCTGCGGTTTCAGGGCTGCCGTTTCAGGGCTGCCGTTTCAGTTCCGGGACGTTTCAGTGCTGGAACGTTTTAGTGCCGAGACGTTTCAAAGCTGGGACGTTTCACTGCCAGGATATTACCATTTAATATATACTAATTATCTTAATCCTGGGATGACAATTCTACCTGTCAAATAATTTACGAAATCAAGACCAATCTTGCTAGTTTCAATTCCCAAAAATGAGTTTATTTTCAAAAATGAAAAAATAATGCGCTTCGAAAATGAAAAATTACTAAAAATTATCCTTATTTAATAATAACAATCTTCGTGGCACTGAAACGTCTCGGCACTGAAACGTCTGGCACTGAAATGTCCCGGCACTAAAGCGTCGTGGCACTGAATCGGCGGCTCTGAAATGTCCTAGACCCCAAAAAATGGCCTGACACATATAAAAAACTTGAAATGCGATTTCATTGAAATTATATTTTTACAACTACTTGTTTTATTCAACCAAAGCGGATTCATTCATTTGTTATTTACTCATATTTACAACATACATATACAAAAATATAGCACAAAAAAAATAAACAATGATAAAAAAATTAATAAATTGTGTAACTTTAGGTTTCCATTTTTTTTCAAGCTATTTGTAATAAATTACCCTTTTCATATTCTTTAAATTTGTTTCTCCCTTTTGTTATTTAATTTTTGGACCTACATACCTGGTCACACAGACAATATTTAAAATGTATATTTTTAGGAAGGACCTATGATACATTCAGGGGCCGTAGTTGCCGCGGGTATATCACAGGGAAAAACAAGCACATTCAAAAAAGATTTCAACGTATTCAAATTTTTCCGAGAAGACCATGAAAAACGGGACTTTGTTTCAGGAGGTGCAGCAGCTGGTGTCTCGGCGGCTTTTGGGGCTCCAGTTGGTAATATATATTTTTTTTTTATGTACAAGGTGTTATTGAAATACATGTACGTGTTAAAAGCGACTTGTAGTCAGTTTTCTTGACTACTTTTATAATAAGAATTTTTATACAAAATTCTAATTAGAGTTAGTGTAATTTTCAAATATCACTTTCCAAATATAAAACTCTTAAATATATTCAAAAGTATTTTTTTTTCTTCAATTACAGTATTATGATTTTCTCTATAATGCAGAAAAAAGTTTTGTGGTCTGAAAAATAATTACACAATGCACATTTATCTTTTTTTCAACATATATTATAAGAAGTTTGTGATAAAACAATAAATCGTTTCAAAATATTCGTTATTATTAATATATATACGCGCTTGCTGAGTGCTCAATAAGTTCTGTCTTCAAAATATCGAAATAATATCCTTTGTTTCATCGTTATCGCTACATCGGCTTTTGCTTCTTCGTCAGCGCCTAGTCACGCTACATTAATAAAATATAAATACTCTATAAAATCGAGATGGTATTAATAATTACGCCCCCAACCTTCAGGAAAATATACATTTAACTTAATACTTATAATATTCTAATTAACAAACAACAACAACAACAATAATAATAATAATCATCATCAACAATGATATAAAAGGCGCAATTCACACAGAACGGACGTGTAGTGGTGGCGTGGGAATGGCGTGCTATGGGCATATGCCACCCGCACGTTAGCCTATGAGGCAATTCACATAGAGGTGACATGGATCTGGTGTGATTACTTTCACCACCGCCACGCCACTTTGGTACCATGAGAAGCCTACACGAGTGACAAATGCCATACAAATTTAGTGTTGTTTTTCGATTTTAAACAAAAATGGATGACGATTTTCAATTTAATATAGAGTTCTGCGTAAAAGTGCAACAGTATGCAAATATATACGATCGGATTATTGCAACAAAATTGTACAAGACCATTCATGGGACAAAATAGCAAAGAAATTCAGTGAAAATGGGAAGTACTTGTTTATTAACTTCAACATATCCAGGTCATCTTCGTCGTCATCGGAGAACATTTTTACTTCTCTTCACTTTAATGTTTTATAACTGAATACTGAATGACAAAAAAAACGAGGTATCCGATCCGATCCCATCCCCCTCTGTGTGCATTGAGCGCGCCACGTCCGCTCCACAGCTGCACCACGCAGGTCCCACGCCACCACCACGCGCCCGTTCTGTGTGAATTGCGCCTAAGTGTATAACATCTAGTAACAAACACAAATTGTATTGGATCCTCAGTTGTATTATGTGTCTTCAAAAGTGAAGTCAAATTTGTTATATACATGAACTTTCCAGGACACTGGTCACATTAAAATTGATAGTTTTTATATTCTTTCACTTTTGAAAAGCTTGAAAACTTTATTTGTTTCCCATGTAGTCTTTTCATGCATTGCCTTAAATTTGACACTTTACTATAGTATATTGTGCAACAAGTGGGAAAAGTACTTTCCCCACATGGTGCATACTATACTTTTTCTACTACTGCATAAATTTAAAGAATACAAGTAATGTATCCCACTTCTTAAAGTTAAATAATTTATTTAAAATTATAGTTAATGGTAAAATCCGTACAATTTTGTATGGTCAAACCCGGATAAATTTTTCGTATGCAGACACATACTTTTTTCTTGGAATTACCGGCAACAAATCTAACGTTACTTTTTCAGCTTTTTCCAGAATCTCTGACGGAGTATTATTAAAATCGTCACTACTGTCAGTATCGATATTATTTATTATACATCGGTATATGTCTTATTAAAATAATATTTAACGATTTTTATCAAAGTACGAATAAAAACTACCTTAAAAATTTAAAAAAACTATAATCATCTGACAGTTGTGACAACTATTTAAAGCTGAACAGCAGCCAACTAAGTTTTTGTTGATTTTTGTTGATTCTCCATATAAATGTATGTGGTGTGGGCAAAGTGCCTCACGGTATGAGCAATACATGGGTTTGAAATTAAGTAAGCTATGAGAAATTCGCTACTTTTCATAGCAGTTGTATAAAAAATTATTTTTTGTAAAATTACAAGGTTTTTTTACATGTCCTTCGTCTACTGTATGTTTTCTTTGAAATGTTAAATATTTTGAATTAACTGAATACTCTTATATGCTTTTTTAGATTAAATGTGCTACTGAGAGTTTTATCACAAAAATCACAATAAGGAAGTTGTTTCTTTTCTTCATTTTTTCTTATTTGTAATGACTTTAAATATGATTCCTCTCCAGAATTAAGGCCTTTAATATGATTTTTTAGATTCGACAAATTACTGAATGTCTTCTCACAATTAATGCAGCGTAAAGCGTAATTTGATCTGCTTCTGTTCAAAAGGGTTTTAGTATACACAAACTTATGAACTGTTAACTAGTTAACACTGTTAACTAGATCAATTCTACATAAAACAATTTAATACATAATAAGAAAAGACCCAATGCCATAGAAAAATAAAAACTCAATGACCAATAATTATGAATGACACTGCTGACCTGATGAAATGGCAAAAGTGCTATTTTTGTAGAATGACGGATCAATTCGCTCCTTGCATCAAAGTTGTCTCCGGTACTAGACGCTAGAAGCGATGTCAGCTTTATCGTACCGCCGCCACATTTAATTATTTTAAATGGCAACGTAGGTCGAGTGATATATCTGGGAAGAGCCTATTTTTCCCCTTTTAAGAATACTAAAAAGTACCACATTACTAACCTACTACAGTCCCATTCATCACCTTAAAATACCTTATTGCCAGACTTTTTCACTACCCTCTAAGTCGATAGCTCAATCAAAAACCGCCACAAGTTAAAAAACAAAGAAAATTACATTTTTGGTTTAATGGATGTAAAATATCATAGAGATTTTATTTTAAATACCGCCACAAACCAAAATATTCTTAGAGATGTCCTAAAATGATTTAAAATCCAGCTACAAACTATCTAAAACTGCCTCAATTCGGGTTATTTTCTGCAAAAATACCCAATTTTTTACAAACTTCGCAATAACTCAAGTTAAGGTGCTTTTATAATCATAATCCTTAATTTTGACAGCAAAATGTCGTAGCTTTTAAATAAAATATAAAGATTTTATGCCAAAAATAAAATGATAATAGAGGCTTACAAAATTTTAAAACGAAATTTCTCAAAACAATAGCATTTTAGTTGTGGCAGTATTTGATTGAGCCATCGATGTATAGGATTAGAAAAAACAATAGTCATGTAATACAGTCCCATTTATCACAAAATGTGCTCCTGTGGCATGCATGTCGATTCTAGCTTTTACTTTATCGCTGTTGATTTTCAAACGTTTCCGAGCGAATCTGTATACCACTTCTAATCTTTCTCTTAAAGGGGCCTACAGATGTACGCGCGGTGATGTATGTAGGTCTACTTTTATTTCTACACGTACAGACTTGTATGTCAGTTTTCTCCGTGTCGTATTGAAAGTTTGTCGACATGTCAAGCGAATATGAATTAATGTTACTAGCAGTACATGTATTATAAAAAAAATCATCATCAATTGATTGATAGGCGTCGTTCACAAAGAAAATGGGTTAAAGATTGGCTATTAAAGAGGAATCAATATTCTCCTATTAGTTTACTTGAAGAGCTACTATTAGAACCTGATGGTTGGCGAAACTATCTCCGGATGGACGAAGATGGTTATGTAACACTTCTTTCGAATAACTTCTTAAATCTGCCATTTTCACAATACAAAAATAAGTAACCTTTAAAAACCAATACACGGTACTGCAAAGTCTTTCAAAATGAGTAAGTTTTTGTCTACACACAGGAATACATGTTTTCGCATACAAAACTGTGCGGACTTGAATTCAAACGAGAACAGAAAACATGTGTGTCGACCTTTTTGCAGAAGATTTATCTACACACTGGTGAACATTACCGCGCGCATATCAAAGTACGTTTATGTCTTAATACATGCGCGAGTGTCTGTAGGCCCCTTAAGTTATGTATGTATGTGGAAGGTGTACGGCTCTCTTCTTCACCAAGAGAAGTTTCATCTCCCTTCCAATAATCATGGATGGAGTATACCTGGTCGATTCATGTTCAGAACTTCGGTAGGCTAGTATAAATAAAGGAATTAAAGTGTCCCAGTCCTTTTGGAAACATCCGGGCATATGGTTCTATGGTGTCTTTTTACCATTCCGTCGGAATATGGGTGGAGAGGCATATTGTGTTTTCCTAATGCCTAACAATTTCATCAATTCTTGCTATTCGGATTCAAAATTTCGTCCCAGGTCAGAATACAATTCCAGAGGGACTCCATGTCTCGCTATGACGTTTATCATAAATACTTCTGCTACTGTCGTCGCTTCCTGATTAAGAATAGGCGCTATTTCAGATCACTGAAAAATAGTCCTTAACAACCATCAAGTATTTGTTTCCCCTATCTGTTAAGGGAAGTGGTCCGAGGATATTATGGCGATTCGTTCGAAAGACTCTTTGGAAAGGTACTGTGCCATTTTGCATCGGTTTTTTGTTTTGGATCCCTTCCTGCCATTGCATAGATCACATTTATTACACCAATGTTCTATAACCCGTCGGCAATTGACCCAATAAAATCTTTCCCGAACTCGTGCAAGTATCCTTTTAGTACCAAAATGTCCTCCTGAACGGCTGCTATGATGCTCCGCCAACACCCTTCTGACATGTGATTTCGCAATACCACTTGGCGGAATACATGTACTCCATCGGGGATCTCCCACTTCCGGTTCAATAGGCCATCATGAAGATACGGGGAATTCCACTCAGTCCAGTATCATATAATAATTCCACTATATTTGAATATCTCTTGATGAGTAGGTCTGACTCTATTTTTGAGCCATTTTCGGACAACCTTCAAGTCATTGTCTTTTTTTATCCTTTCTCAGGCTTTCAAGGGTGATTTCGTCTTCGTCCTCCTCTGGCTTGATAGTGGTTTCCTGAAGACTAACTTTTTCAACCGGTTCCTTTCGTTCCTCGATCCTTTTACAGCCTCGGCATTGTCGTTCCAAACAGGATCGCCTGGAAATAATATCTGCGTTGCCATGGAGACGGTCTCGATCACCGAACATAAACATGACATGAAGGATCACTTGGCGTCGGTACTTTGAAGTGTGGCCTGCAGAAGCGTGCTGTCGTATTCGGAGTAATCAAGTCGCCGCGTGCCGTCTTGTGCACTTTGTTGGGCAACGTCCAAGTTACTTCTCTAGGGACTGATACAGGGGTTAATAGAAATGAATTTTAGTATCGAATAACTATTCAACATAATTTTTTCTTTTTGTTTGAATAGAGGCGTGACCACAAAGACGCCTCTATTATCGTTATCTAAAATATTAAAATAGGTGTAAAGATGAATCTATCTACAATAATACAACCTTTTTTTTAATGGAAAAATTTGGCATGTTTCAAAATTTTTAAATGCTTCCAGCAATTATAAAATTTGTATTATCAGATATTCAGCATGCTAAAAATTGGTAAAATCTAGCTTAATAAGCATATAAAATTAATTTAAGTATCAGGTTTGGAATTTTAGGAACACAAAACGAGATGAAAAAAATGTCATGCAAAATATTTCTATTAAAAATTAAACAAACTTTAAGTAAACCATTTTATGAAGCTGAAAATACACAAACATTCATTATTTCTAATTAGGAATTTACTATTTTTTAACAAATTTAATGAGGGAACAGCATTATATTGCAGATGAACTTTTAAATTATGTTTCATATAACTCCCTTCAGGAAAGTGCAAATCGCAAAATTTTATTTTACCATCCGGGGTTCAATTGGCATATTTATGGATACCTACAAAATCTAAAGCTCGTTTCCTTTTTTCACACCTAAAAAAAAAATTATCCAAACCGAATCTGCGAGTATAAGTTAATAAACAAGGTAGTTAACGCAAACTATCTTACCTATCTTTCTCTTTCGGACATCGAATGTTCCCATTTTTTGTTTACTGTTGCAGCCATCTACATAACACATCACCGGCATTTTTATATTTTTAAGATACAAAATTCGCACACAACACTTATTAATGTAGCTGTTATATTTAAATCTCCCCGCAGGTATAATACTATGGAAATAATGTCACCAATCAACCACAATAATTATTGTTTGTTTAATTATCAAACACACCGGTATATCCGATCGCCAATGTTCTCGCTCGATACGTACGATCAACACCTGTATAATCGTTCCATCACAGCTCGCATCCAAACACTAAAATCGGCCAAAATACATCAAGGAAGAGTGACATGAGAGAGTAAGCCAGGCAGACAACGTTGGAGGAGGAGCTTAGAGTGACCCGTCTTGTTTATGTTCCGTGCTTTGATGCACTGCTTCCTGATTATTGCTAGAAAGACGGGCTAGATGTAGTGGACGACCGGCTTCCTCGGGAGGCATATCTGCTGTAATTATTTCTTGTTGGACTTCGGGATGGGCTTCGGGAGGTTAATTTAGGTAAATTTCTCTCTTCATTCCTTGATTCTCGATTTATAGAACGAGCACTGCTTACAGGTTCTTTGAAGGTGTCCGGCTCTGCCGCAATTTTCGTTGCATATTTTGCAGTATATCAGAAAACTGAACTGTGATGTCGCTCCCTTGAACCTTCTCAAATCATCCAGATGCTTTTGAAACAGAGTCTAAACCTTGTTGTGTGCGCTACACAACAAAATGGAACGGCACAACGCCCTCGAATACTTGGTCTTGCTCTCTGACTACGTGTCCTACATATCTATCAGCAATATACGTCTAAAATTTCCATGATCTACAAACGTATGGCAGTCAGGTAATCTACGATTTTAAAATCGTTCACCATAAATTTAGTTTGGAGTCGGCAACCTAGATTTGTAGTTATGCCAACTGCAGTGGCATACGCATGATTTAATATACATTTTAAAAATTTAATTATTGCTCTTATTTACAAATATTTTTCAAATAATACTTTTAGACAGTTTAGGATAATCTAAAGATTAAGCTTTTTAATATGCACATGTATCAGTATAATAGCTTCGTTCGCGGTAACAATCCTGAACTGATTCAGAATTAGTAATTTATACTTTGAGCGCATGCCCGAATCATTATCAATTCTGAATTTTTACCGCGCGCGCAATCCCTATTGTATCTCGGTGTTTCAGGTATAGACAAGCGGTTCAAAATCAATAATAATTTTACCACGAACACAGAATAGAACCAATAGTTCAGTTCTTTTTGTTCCGCGAACGCTTTTTAACTACTGCGCTTGCGAAATCGTGACTATTAGTAATAATTCGGTTCAGGATTCTTACCGCGAACAAAGCTTATAACACTTGTGTATTATTTAAAAAATTCTACATTCAACAAGATGAGAACTGGCGTCAAATTGAATTATTTTATTTGAAATAAATCGTTGTCTCCTTTTTAATGACTGGTTGGTCATTTTTTAGGTGGTGTTTTATTCAGTTTAGAAGAAGGTACAAGTTTTTGGAACCAGAGTTTAACCTGGCGAACGTTTTTTGCCTCGGTAGTATCAACATTTACTCTTAATGTGGTTTTATCAGCCTATCATGGAGTTCCTGGTAATTTGAACTACCCCGGCCTGTTGAATTTAGGAAAATTTGATGGTTTCACATACGAATTTTTCGAGTTACCGATTTTCTTAGTTATGGGAGCATTTGGTGGATTATGTGGAGCTTTATGGAATCATATCAATTATAAAATTACTGTGTTTAGAATGAGGTAAGTAAAATTAGTGGAATAAAACTTTAATGCTTTCTATTACTGAGGCCCTTCCTATGGGGCCTCAGTAATGCATTCGTGTAGACGAAAAAAATTTTCTTTCCCCCACTTTTTAAGACTTTTCCGATCATTATGAGTCCGAAAATACAAAAAAAAATTCATCAGGTTATCTGTGCGTATGTATGCCGGCACAATAACTCCAGAACGAAAGTTCTGATTGACTTGCGGTTTGGATGTTCTTGAATAATTGCTTTTAACTTATAACCCTATTGATTTTCAGAATTTTTGATTCATCCTAACTACTTTAATATCAGTGTTCTTAAAATCCGCCCATGCATTTCTTATGTGACTTATTTTACGCATTCCTAACGTCTAATATTTCATACATTGCTAACATTCTAATATTAGGCCAGAGACAACCCGAGACGGTTAACTTCATAGCAAAAATTTATTGACATTTAGATACAATAGTATCAGGGTCAGCTGGCATTTTATCTTTTGTCATGTACATTATTTCCTTATAACCTTATCTTGTTCTCTTAAGCTGAAAGATAGGGTGTCGCTGGTAAGGTTCCAGCAATGTTGCCGCTATGAACATTTTCGAAGTTTGTTTTTTTTACATTTAAATTTTAATGGTGTCCCAAAAAAAATATATATTATCATACTTTTGAGATAACATCACAGAAGTAGACACATTGAAACGTCTATATTTTTGTGCAGTCTGCTTATTGTGTACTTTATTTCCTCAGGTACCTTAGACTTCGATGGCTAAAAGTTATTGAAGCTTGTATTGTAGCAGCAGTCAGTGCTACAGTGGGATTTTTAATGATGTTTTTGATCAACGACTGCAAACCCTTTGGTCAAGATCCCACCAAATATCCAACTCAGGTAGATAAAATGTAGTTAATAAATTGGTTCTAAAAATTATTCAATTTTAAGTCTATTGTATAGGTCGATAGTGTATTCAATTAGAAACTTAAATAATTCAGTATCCATAAAACTAATAGTAGAGGATTTTTAAAAATTAAGATTGATTGTAATCTCGGTTGGATACATTATGGTTATCTATCAGTAACACAAAATTTATCGCTTGTTATAATTGGAGTATTGTTTTTATAGCTTTATTGTGAAGACGGACAATACAACGTTTTGGCTAGCATTTGGTTTCAGACCCCTGAAGCATCAGTAAGATCCTTATTTCACGATCCTGCAAATACTCATAATGCTGTTTCGTTAACGTCTTTTGTAATCATTTACTTCTTCTTAGCTGTATGGACATTTGGGTTGTCAACGTCAAACGGACTGTTCATACCTACTTTATTAACAGGAGCTGCTTGGGGTCGACTTGTATCGATAGGAATTTTCAACGTATTTCCCAATACGGTAAGGAAATTAAAATAATTATTGATTCTTTTTATAAATATATGCATAACATCAAAATCGATTTTTTTTTATATAGGGCGTTATTGAAATACATATAGATATGTTTATTTATCATCTTTCAGGCCTGATGGCTGTTATGCCTAATTTTTTGAACAAAAATATTTTGTGATACATACGGATTTTCTGTTTTCTTATTACATCCTAAAATACTTCTAAAAAACTACTCGAATACTAAATCTCACATGATATTGTTATGAGCTAAAAGTAGTCTAAGATACAAGTAAGGTCGACCTTCACCCATCTGTTTAACGGATAGTCTACTTTACGATAAAATGAAAGATACAATAATAGATACTATAACGACAAATGAATGTTGAGCGCCACCAAGTTTTTGAGTAAAAACTGATTTTACATGCCCTGTTTCATTGAGTCGGTCTCTGGTACCTTAAGTTATCTGTTACGAGTCCAGGCAAATAAAAGAAATTGTGAAAATTGAATACATTTAATGAAATGAATGCAAAGTTTGTTAATGTTTGTTACACAATGAATTAATGACTCAAATGACTGAATGAAATTGAATATTAATAAAAATTGTTTTCTTTGTTTCGACCATGTGGCATTACACATCGATACTTCCCTGTTAAATCGTCTCCTGGGTAGATGAAGTCTGTCCAATACTGAGGTTACTTCGACATTACTTCGAGCTACGTGAAGCTACGTGGAAACTACTTCGGAGCTTCGTCGAAAATTACTTGGAAGCTTCGAGCTTGGAGAAGCTACGTAACCTGGAGCTTGGAGTTAGGGGAAGCTACGTTACTTAGAGCTTGGAGCTATGTCGAAAATTACTTGAAACCTTGGAGCTTGTTTGGAGAAGCTACATAACCTGGAGCTTGTAAGCTACGTACCTCGGAACTTGGAGCCACTACAGGTTTAGAAATAAAAAGAACCTTAGTAACAGGAATAATACATCCACAGACCAGTTGGAAATCTAACGGACTTATGAATAAACGGGACAAATATTAAAGTTACATCATCTGAATAGAATATAAAATATTTATAGGGCCAAAATAAGTTATAACAATAAGTTTTACGTCATCTGAACAAAATATAAAATTTATAAGGCCAAGATAAGTTATAACAATAAGTTTTACATCATCTGATCAAAATATAAACTATTTATAAGGCCAAAATAAGTTAAGAGCCATAGATTTCCAGACTGACTTGTAATTCAATTATTCAATTACCTCCCCGCGTATATATCAAAGAAAGCCTAAAAATATTATTAGGTAGGATAATAATAAAAACAATAATAATAACGCACTCGTCGGCATGCTGGTAATTAAACAAAAGCAAATGGCTGACTTTTCGGCTTTCCAACTAAATCCAGTAAAGCGTTAAAATATAAGTTGAAAAAAACATTACCTCACAATTACCCCAACGGTAGCACTTAAGCACATACGAAAGACACACGATAATGATCTAAATCTATTCATAATAACTACAAACTAGTAGATTTGTCGACACAACACTAGCATATTGAAATTTGAGTTCAATAAATAAAAAGTACTTTGACGCAACGCTCAGCATGAATGTAGAAGAAACGCTGGGCACGTGCGCAAAGCTTACTAATCTAAGGAAGCTAGGATATTCGTTTAATATTTTGTCATTTACGAGGGGTTATGGAGAAGTTGTTAAAACTAAATTTGAAATTAAATTCACGTAACAATGTTTATAAATATACCGCATAGAAAAGTCTATTTATTTTCTTAAAATAAAAAAAACGACATCCTGTAAAGTATTCCCCAGATGCTTCGACTGTGCCCAAAGTTTAATTAGCTCATCGCAGGATGGATTAAAGCTTGGTGTTTTTATCCGTTTTTGAGTTATCTTCAAAATTCGAAATTTGCATTTTTCCTCAAATATCTCGAATACGGTCAATTTTAGCAAAATCATGCATAGACCCAAAATTAGAGAATGGCATCACAAGCAACCTTTATCATAATTCCTATACTTTCCTTACTTGTATACAGAAAGGAAAGTAAAAAAGGGTCGTTACCGTATTTTCTTGGAGGTAACTCATTTGCGGTATATTTATAAACATTTTATAAAACTTTCATCCGTTAAATAGATGGGTGAAGGTCGACCTTACTTCGGATCCTGCATTAAATTGCCAATTGGGCAAAACAAAATTAGCCAAGTTTATTTTTAATAAAATATTTTATTAAATTTATTACATGCCTTTTTTAACATTGTATTATATTTTCTTTCATATAACTTTTTATTGCTTTTTAACCAACCTAAAATCATTTATAATAAAAATGAACCTTTTTGAAAAGCTGATGTGTTTATTTGACTGTAAATATAATAGTAGTTTATGCAACAAGAGTAGATATGAATAAACTCGAGTTGTATAGTATATTTTTTCTACGACTCACTAACGAAAATCTATAAATTAAAAAAAATATAGGTTATTAAGACAAAATAACTAATTTTGAAATAATTTATGACTTTTACTAAGGTTCCCGCCCATATTTGAGGTCGGGCCTCTCGCATGGAAGACAAATGCCGTTGCCTCACCTCCGCACTTACAATTTTTGTTTTAATACTCGTAATTAAATTGGTTTCATATAGTTTGATTAAAATTTAAGAATTATTTGTAAATGTTGACGAAATAAAAATTGAAATGCTATTATTTATCGATTCCCCACAAGAATAACTCACTTATACGTATGTTTAATCTCGATAACTAAAAAATATACTGACAGTTTGACAGAATTGTCACTTACATAAAACGAGTTCGGGAAATATTTTATTGGGTCAGTAGCCGACGGGATGTAGAAGATTGGTGTAAGAAAGTGATTTATGCAATGGCAGAAAAGGGCCTAAAACAAGAAGCTGAGGTAAAATGGCACAGTACCTTTCCGGAGATCCTTTCGAACGAATCGCCACAGATATACCCTTAATAGAGAGGAGAAACAAACACTTGATGGTTGTTATGGACTATTTTTCAAAGTGGCCCGAAATAGCGTCAGTTCCTAATCATGACGAACGTCATAGCGAAAAGTGGAATATATCTGGAATTGAATTGTGACTAAGGACGAAATTTTGAATCCGAATTATGGAAAGAATTGATGAAATTGTTAGGCATCAGAAAAACACGCACTATGACTCTCCACCCACGGTTTGACGGAATGGTAGAAACGCACCATAGAACCATATGCCAGTATCTTTCAATGTTCGTCTCTGAAAACCAAAAGGACTGGGGCACTTTAATTTCTGTATTTCTGCTAGCCTACCGAAGTTCTGAACCGACCAATTATACTCCATCTATGATGATTACTGGAAGGGAGATGAAGCTTCCCATGATCTCCTTTTTGGAAGGCAGCCTCCTGGTGAAGAAGAGAGCCGTACACCTCTCACGTACTGTGACGAAAGTCTAATTTATTTATTTAAAAACACACTATTTACAATTTATTTCAGACGTACTATTTAATTTATATAATATTTGAACACTAACTAACAATTCTAATTTATTTCTTACACTTTTACTTTTCAATACAACGTTCCATATTAAACTAAACTCAGCGCTGATAAGTCGACTATTTATATTCATCCAACTCCGCTACTGGAAAATACTAGAGGCTCTCGAACATGACTAAACGGCACTCCCCGCCCTTCCAGATGTTTTGAGTGAATCAGCGGCAGACATTCCGTCGTATTCGAGACGCGGGCTGGCTGTTTCCACACGTCAGCGTTGCTTCGATCACGAATCGGTTGCGTGCTTAGACAGAGTCGGACTTCATGACAGTACATACATAACTTACGAGAAAGATTAGAAAAGGTCTACGGATTCGCTCGGGATTATTTGAAAGTCAACAGCGATAAAACAAAAGCTAGAATCGACATGTTTGCCCCAGGAACATATTTTGAAAGAGGCAACCTAGTATGGCTGTATAATCCCAAGCGTCGAAAAATTACATTTTCTTGAATACACATTCGGCACTGTTTTAAAAAGGAAGATCATTCAATTATTTCAACAGAATACAGGTCCTCTTTCATAAATCAAAAGTCAATAGGGTTAAGATCTGGACTTCTGGCTGGCTAAGAAATAGGTGCATCAGGGCCTCTTCAAATCCAACGTCCAGAGTACAGACCGAAAAAATATTCCCTAACTTCGTTATCGAAATGCGCTGGAGCTCCATCTTGTAAATATCACATATTTTGCCTCATTCCTAAATTTACCTCTTCCAAGTACTCTGGTAAATATTTTGTAAGAACTGCAAGTAATTTGCACCATTTAAATTATTTGGAAAAAATACTGGTCCTATTAAAGTATTATTCACAATGCCTGCCCAAACATTTTCTTTAAAAGTCCTTTGGTGATGAGTCACTTTTTTTGCGTGAGGATTTTCTTCGGCCCATTTGTGTTCGTTATGGTAATTCGTAATGCCATTTCTATTGAAGGTAAACAAAATATGATTAATGAAATTTGATATTTCGATTGCTTACCGTTAAGAACCAGTCCCATTCTTTTAGGATAATCTTTATCTAGTAATTCTTGAACGGTTGTTAAGTGATAGGGATGAAGCTGCTGTTCCTTCAATCTTCTCCAAATCATCATGTGACCAACATCTAATTAAGCAGCTATTACTTTTGTACTGGTTCCATGGTTTTCTTCGACTAATTCTAAAATTTCATCGTTTGTATCCATTTTTAGACGACCATTATTACCAGTAAGTTGAGGTCACAAAGTACCCGTCTCCCGTAAACGACGATCAATGGAAAGAAATAATCGTATGTCTGCTGTAGTCCAATTGGAATATTTTTTCGGCATAACGCCTTGCAGCTTTTGCACTATTCCCTTGAAATTCACCTGTAATTAAAAGAATTGCAGATAATTATCTGAAACCTTGTTTTAGCTTGTCTAAACTCACCCAGAATTAAATGCATATCTGCCATATCTGCAAACGTGTACACCATTGTAACAGAAAGTTTAATTTTTCTTAATACTCTTAAAAGGCACAATCATCGAAAGTCTCAATTGACAGTATGTAATTGTTAAAGCAACTGATTCTACTATTTGTGGAGAGCATGACGCACCATGATCTTATTTTTTTTAATCAGTATCTAATCGAAAGATAAATGTTCGAACAATATCCTGCGCAATTATTAAATTTAATGTTTGGGAGGCTTTGGAATTTTTGACGTTTAGAATTTTTTACGTGTTTGACGCACATAATGAGACACTAACTTCTTTTGTGGTTTGACGTTTTAAGTTGTTGAAAGTGTAACGGTATCTTTGTGACAGTTTCTAACGTATTTTTTTTATTCGTTATTGAAAACGGGTCGCGGTAAAGCAATTCCAAAAAAAATAGGGTTTTGATCATAAACAAATATAAACATAAACATAAGTTTCCTAATATCTGAAATAAAATTATGAAAAGGCCGAACATATAGTCGTTAGGGCTTGTAGCTATTGACGAGCTTTAGAGTTATCAGTAAAAAAAAATTGAAATTGATTTTTCCCCAACCTTTTATATATGAAATCCATTGATCCACAATAATTATGAATTATAAGCCTATAGCGAATACGATGAGTATCCTTTAATTTAGAACCAGCTTGGATAATGTTTCATGGACTGATAGATAATCGTAAAAAAAGAAAAAAATTACTTCTCCCCTCCCCAACTAATAGCCGGGCCATAGGCCCCGTCTGAAACGATTTTCATTCGGGTACGATGAATTAGACTTTAGGGCGAAAACAATTTCACTCCCTATCTCCTCCCTTCCGTATGAGAAAAAACATTTTTTTTTTCAAGTTAGACCCGAAAGTCGCACACCTTTGGGTTCTGGGGATTTTCGATCCACCTTTCCCTCTACTCCCGCCACCCACGGTTGTATAGTATAGAGGATTAAAATCTAAGATGTAATCCTAGTATTATTTATTTGGGGTAAAATATTCAAAACATATACCTGACGTTAAACACCGGGAGGGGTACAATTCTACTCCAAGGAATTAAACTCACTATATATTGTTACGATAAATAAAAATATATTGTAATTTTTTATGCTGTATCAGAAATATATTTATAAAAGATAGCTCAGAGGAAATTAAATAAAAAAAAAAATGTAGATTCTTTCCTAAAAAATGTATGTCTGTAGTACAATTGTACCCCGACCGGATTTATGAAAGTTATAAAGAGGCATTGTGAGCAGAATGGTTATCGGTATTTTTTTTTGTAAAAAGGCTCCCGTTAGTATGGTTAAAAATAATACGACAAAAATTTGTTTACCTCAGATCTATGCTCTTTAAAATATGAAAATTTTGTACCGAAAATACCACCATTTTTACTGTAAGATCGATCGAAAATCCCCAATTTTGGTACCTAATTAGGGTTTTTTAAAAGTCATATCTAAACTAGAGTGTATAACAATCTTTATTTGAGGGCGACTCCTCGGCGAATTGCATTGTAGTCGGCCGGCAATAACGTGTATTTACAGATGAATCATCCTCAAATAAAAATTCTTATAGTATAGTCACTGCCGCTGTGTTTTAATGCAAACACTTTCTAATTTACCTAAAAGGAATAAATAGTTATTTTAACAACAAAAAGTCTTGGATGATATCTATCAACATTAATACAGTATCTTTTCTGACAGTTTAAGTTTTTAAATAACAGCCAAATATTTTTAGGCAATTGTTCACCCTGGTAAATATGCTTTAATTGGAGCTGCAGCACAATTGGGAGGTGTAGTTCGCATGACGATCAGTTTGACTGTGATAATAATGGAAACAACTGGTAATATAACATTTGCCTTACCACTTATAATAACCCTCATAGCTGCGAAATGGACTGGAGATTACTTCAATGAGGTACAAAATTTGTTATTTTTTTTAGATTACTCATACAAACATTACTATCATTTAAACACTTCTAATCTAGTGGTTCCCAAACTTTGCGTCTCGGCGCACCTGTGAAAAGACCCCAGGTCTTAATTTTATTTCCATTCAATTATTTTGTTTATTTTATGTATTTATACTTAAACCATTTTTAAAAAATTATTGGCTAATTCGCAAAGTGTATTTGATATAATTTAATATAGTATAGCGTCTTGGGAAAAACTGGATTCAACAAGGAAGCCGATAATCGAAAAAGTTTAGAAACTACTGCTCCAATAATTTAAAATTGTTATACTTGCAAGTACGAGATAAAGTGACTTATTACATATTTCTTTCATGGGTACATATGACTAACGTCTCCGATAATATTGCAATCTCTAATAAAGAAGGTGCTATAATAATAATAATCTTTATTTGCCTCAATTAAAATTACAATTTAGATTTAGAAAAAATACATGTATATAAAAAACGAGATAGGTAAATAAGTAGACACCCATATATTCATGGCAAATAGAGTGTACATTCACAAAAGCAGGCTTGTGCGTGAATGCAGTAGTTCATTTATCATGAAAAATAGATGTATAAAAATTAAATTAAAAAGTATTCGCTCCGTGCGCGACAGCAGCGCCAATTCGTTTTGATACTAATGGACTATTTCTGCGTACACTGACAAATGCAACTTTTAATAGAATTCGTAATTAAAAAGTATATATGGTAGTTTTAATAAAAGTATATGGATTTGTAAAACAAGTAAAACATTAATTTATTATTATTATATATTTTTATCGCTTAAATTAAAGAAAATTATGTATAATCGATAAAAATGAATAATAAAATATAGACAGGCAACAGTATTTACTGGAAATTGTATGAGAAGTTGCCTAAGTCTAATAAGTTTTCATTGATGAATTACTCTAATCTGTCAAAATAAAAAAATACAATTTAATAATAGCGTGAAGTTAAAATGTATAAAAGAAGGATCATTACTTATATTTTCATTTTTGTTCGAAAGAAAACATAGAATGAATGATTAAAACTGATTTCCCATCAGTAAGTTACAAAATTGCGTTCCAACCACATATAATAATCAAAGGCAGAAATCTTGAAATCTAATCCTTGCTGAATGAACATTTAAGAATAAGGGATATTAAAGAACATGGTAAAATGATAATTATTATTGTTGATTTAAAACCTTTCAAGTTTCTGATGTCTACTATTTGCAGCATTACGGTTATTATTACAAAAATAAAGGTAATTTTTCTTCTTATTGTATATCTATCCATTTATTTCTTTGATTTAATTTCCACTTTGCTACTGAATTTTTTTATATAAGTTTCACTGTTTTTTTTTTGCTAGTATTTGTTCAATTTTCAACACAGCAACTCCGGTTGCTTATTGTATTGTTTTTACCTACTTTTTTTGAAAAAAAGTAAAATGTATACGTGTATTTGATATGCCAAAATTACAAAATATCGCCCTAAAATGCACGAATTATCCGCAGCTAGCGCTAGTATCGCTTTTGCTTCCCTTTCCATGACTTAGCACGGAGCGAATAGGTACATTTATAAAAGGAAATGTTTGAGATTCACATAATAGAATTTTAAACAATTTAACTGTAAAATATAATATATAAAAGGACAATCAAAAAACAGTGTTAGTAAAATCAATTAGAATATTAATAGACATTAAATTATTAAGTTTTTTTTTAAATCACGATAAGATTGACAGACTATAACATGTTTCATTTCGCGGCGAAATAAAGTTTTGCAATGTAGCAGTCGGAAAAGATAGGATCCAATTTTTTATTTTCTTTTTAAATAAACTTGCGGAGTTAATTTTTTTTAAATCAGATGGTAATTGGTTATACAACTTTGGAGCCAGGTATGTAAAACTTTTTTTTCCTATAGCTTTTTTCATTTTGGGTATTACGGCAGCGCTTTCCTTATATCTAGTTGGATAGCTATGTTGGATTGACTTTAAAGTGGCTTTATCTTTATGTTGTTTTAGTAAAATCACTTTTACGTATAATTGGTAAATATTTAGCACTCCAGTTTCTTGGTAGAGCTCAATTGTAGGGTAGGTTCTGGGTTTGTGAAATAAAACTTTTAATATACTTTTTTGAATTTTTTGTAGGTATTCGATAAGAGTTTGACCAGTCGATCCCCAAGCTATAAGACCGTACGTTAGATGGCTTTCGACTAATGCATAATAAAGAATTTTGAGGTAAGTTAATTTTAGGATGTTAGAAATATTTTTAAGTTTATATAGTACAAATCTTAGTTTTTTTATTAAATAGTTTATTTGATGGTCCCATCTTAAATGGGAATCAAGGAAAATTCCGAGATATTTAATTTTATTTGTTGTTTTTATATGAAGCATTTCTCTTGTGGATACAGTAATAGATATTTGTTCAAATGGTGGTAAGTCGGAGCTATATGAAGTAAACGGTAAGAAAAAGGTTTTTTTATAATTTATTGTCTGCTCTCAAAAAAATTAACTATTTTAACAAAGTCAAATTCAATGTCATTTTTGAGAGCTGACCAATTGTCATTTTTATAGAAGACCGCGGTGTCATCAGCAAAACTCACAATATCACCTTTTGTGTCTTGTAGAAATATATCATTCAAGTATATATTAAATAGAATTGGTCCTAGGACAGTTCCCTGTGGTACTCTATATGTTACAACTCTGAAATCACTGTGAGTTCCACTAATATTCACACACTGTTTTCTTTCGTTCAGGTAACTTTCAAATAGCTTGTAAGCAATACCCCTAAATCCCGCATTTTCTAGGACAGATAATAGCTTCTTATGATCGACGATGTCGAATGCCTTAACCAGGTCAACAAAAATGGCAATGGAAGGTTGTTTTTTGTCTAAAGCATTGTTTATCATTCCTAGTAAGCTGGTTATTGCATCCGATGTTGACATATTTTCACGGAACCCGTACTGTTTATCTGATAATATGTTATATTTTTTTATAAATGATGCTATTCGTTTCTGTAATATTTTTTCAAACACTTTTCCTATGTTAGAGATTAGTGAAATTGGTCTATAGTTTTCAGTTTCCATAGTATTTCCATCTTTAAACTGAGGTAGAAGTTCTGCAATTTTTAATATCCTTGGAAACTTACCATCATTTATTGATTTGTTTATTAAGAATGTCAACACAGGTGCTATTTGTGAACATACTGTTTTAAGGGTTTCTGATCGAATGCCGTCTAGCCCTGGTGACTTGTTATTTTTTAAACTCATTATGGTTTCTATTACCTCGTTTACATCGGTGTCTGAAAGATAAATTGTTTTGCTTATTTTTTGTTGTTTAATATTTTTTACCATGTTTTTATTGTTTATTTTGTTAGCCATTTTTTCTCCAACGTCTGTAAAGTAATCGCAGAATGCATTTGCAATTTGTTTTGGGTCATGAACTATAGTATGTGCATGTGTTTTAATTTCATTTATTGGCCTTTTTTGTTTTTGAGTGTTTGATATTTCTCTAACACATTCCCATAATTTTTTACCAACATCTTTATTGTCTTCTATTTTTTTATTGAAGTAGTATGATTTAGCTTGTCTCATCAATAAATTTAAATAATTTCTATATCTCTTAAAAACTAATATATTATGTGGTGTGTAATTATTTTTCATTATTTTATATAACCTATTTTTTTCATTGACAGAAGTGATAAGAGCTGGTGTGATCCAGGTTTTACGTTTAATATCGGTTCTTTTTATTTTTTTTGTTATTGTAGATTTGTCTCTATAAAAATTGAATTTATGTATAAAAGCTTCAGTACAAATATCTATATCGTTATTATTATAGATTTCTAGCCAACTTTCTTGATTAATTTGATTTTGAAATATTTTAATGTCGAATATAACTTTTGTTTTTCTAATGATATATCTTGTTTTGTTTCAGGTAATATAAGATGATTTATGATCGAGAAATGGTCAGTGATATGGGTTTGCATTATTATAGGAATATTTTTATATTTATTTATGTTGGTCTTAAAGAATATATGGTCCAAACAGGATTTCTGTTGGTCTTTTACCCTAGTGAATTTATTTATTAAGCTTTCGAACCCCTCTTCAGTCATTTGGTTTAAGTAGTCGTGTACAAAGTTAGAACTATTATCTAATATGTTGATATTTATATCGCCTGTTATTATATGAATATCTGATTTTTTGCATTGTTTTAAGTAAGTCCCTAGGTCTGTTATAAAAGTATCTACATTCGAAGGGCATGGTCTGTAGATTCCATTTATTACTAAATTCCTGGTATGTACCTTGCATGAGAGTTCTAAGATGACTAATTCATTAAAACTTATTATTTTACATGAACCCTGTAACTCTTTTTTCGCAAAGATAATAACACCATCACATTCATTAAAACTACCATTATTATAAAATAAGTCATAGCCGTCCAACCGATATAATTAAGTGTCTAGTATTTTTCTTGTTTCTGTGATTACGATAAAGTCGAATTGTATACTTACCTGCTCCAAGGTTAATTTTAATTCATCAAAATTTTTGTTTGCACTTCTTATATTCATTTGGAAAATAGATATGCTCTGGTTTTTACTAAATTCATTAATTAGAATGTTATAGTCTGGGAGATCTTGGATTTCTTTAGTATCGGCCTGTTCAATTTTGAAGTCTAAGAGATAATTGTTCATTATTTTTTTTTTATTATTTATTAGTTCATTAAGTTAAAAGTTAAGGGTTAAAATTTTAATTATTAAATATATCTGGATAAAAATATTATAGAAATGGATAATAAAATAAATAGTTTTAATTATTTTGCGTTTTGTAATCTTGGTGAATGTCTTGGTCCTGGATTTTCAAGAGTGGGTTTTTTCGCAGAAGTTTCAGCAGGGTTTTCTGACTCGTTGAGTTTTCTTTTTGTTTGATTCTTATTATTACTTTCACTTGTTTGGCTTTGGATATTTTGTTTGGATTGTATATTAGTTGTGT